AAGTCCAAAATATGTCTCAATGCTGGTCTGTATTTATTGAACACATAAAAGAGCAAGAAATAAAAATAAAATGAAAAACGATGCTATTTCTCTCTGTCCCACAGTTTACAGTGTGATTATATTTTCTGTTACAGAACACAAGTGAATAAATTCAGTTCTACGTTTGGGCATTGTAAAAAACAACAACAAAAAAATGTATCCCTGAAAGGTTTCTCTAAATAAAATGTATCATTGTTGATAACAGTTTGACTTTGCTATTCGAAATTCATCAGCGTTTATAGCTTCTCATTATTCACTGATCTGTGACCTCTGTTTCTCTGCTTTATCTGCAATCCGTGTGAGCTCTGCTGAAGTTATTTTTTCAGGGTTTGTCTTTAGATTATTGTGTAACCAATTATCCTGTTGAAAACAAACATGTATGATCCCTTTTTTATTCCCTTTAGAAGGTGATCTTACTTTGAATGGCAATTAAATTCAAGCTGTGATACAAGCTTGTTAAACTGTCTTTCACATCAAACAAGGAAAATATAACTTAATGTCAGCAGCCAGTGGTGTTACACAGTCGGTTAGTTTATCAGTTATAAGTACACATCTAAAAACAAAAAGTGGTCCATTGATGTCACTTTGAGCTATGGAAGCCCAAGAAGTGGACGGGTAAAAAACAAAACAAAACAAAATTAAGTGAATCAGTTTTATTGATTAATCGCCCAGCCATATTTAGAAATAATTCTGCCTCAATAAGATTATGTGGATTTAAAGCTTGCAGCAGATGTTTATCAGCTTGTCCATAAATGTGGAGGATGCTGTATGGTTTCAAAAATCCAACTACAATGTTTGCTCTGGTTCCCTTTAAGGCCTGTTTGGAGATGATGACATACTAGACAGCTTATTTGATGATAAAGGTAAGTGATGTTACCTAGAGGTGACACGAATCATATTGTTCCCCCACTGACTGTAGTGAAGTGTGTAATAATAATTTTCTAAACAAATCACCCGTCAGAGAAACCAGTGCGATCAAAGGGGGCTCGCGCCAGAAGGCTGAATACGTAAGCTAAGGCATCCTGGCACTGCATACCTAATAGTAATTATGAATACTCCTCATGATTGGTTTCCTTTTGTGGCTTTTTCAGCTCATCTCCTACTAATAACATGTTTGGTAAAGCGGCAGAGAAAGTTAAGAAGGACAAGTCGGACTTGGAGGTTAAAAGACAATTTCTGAAACAAGTTGGGTTTTTTTTCTCTGTCTTTATGAGAGAAATAACTGTTACCTTTGTTTAAGGACTCAGATATATCTGAGGTGGCTCAAGAGGAACTGCTGAAGACCTTGAAGGTAGGTGTCAAAGAAGCAAAATTGGACCTAAATCTTCCCTTATCGTACTGTCCGCAATAAATTCATTGTCCTCTTTTAGGAGTTGGAGGAATTGGAGGCTGACCTGATTCCAACTAAGAAAAAGCTTCCCATACAGAAAAAGTCAGTCGTTGATGATGAGCCAGTGAAAGACTCACCTGGGTTGGAAAGTAATGCAAATCTGAAAGGAGAAGGTAATTCAGTGCAGCATGTTTTTGCATAAAACATTGATCTCATTATTATGTTCCCGTTTACCACAAGATATGGAGGTAGTCAAATAGATCAAAGACGAGGGCTGTCTTCCTTTTTTTCTCTTCCAGATGAGGCCACAGGAGGAAGAAAGAAGTTGAGCACTGGCCCTTCATCCTCAGCACATCCTTACGACGACTTCTTTGGTGAGCGAGCATCAATGTGAAGTTAAGATTACCGGTGTTCAGCTTCAGTATTGTTTACTGTCAGCTTCGCTTCCTTTGTCTGGATCAAAAAATGAGGGGATGATAAATGTGTGATCATACATCCCATATTTAAAACAGGTTCAGTTGCAATACAAAAAGTGGAAATACTTCTGGAAGGTGCTGTATATTTGTCACAGTATGTGTGTAAATGTTAAAATGTTTAATTAGAAGGATCATGGCTGTTTATTGTAGCTCCCACCACTAAACCACTGAGGGCAGGTACCAGAAATCAGAACTGAAAAGATCTGATTTTCAGAGAATCACTTTGGCTTTATTTTATTTTGAAAAACCTTCTTGGCCTTAAAGGTTAAATCTTTGTCATCTTGAACCTGGATAAGCTGTTTATTTAAGATGTCGCATCCACTTTGGCAGATCTTTAACTCATTCTAAACTTTTTTGACTTTATCATATTGAACAGACCATAGCATTAGCAGTCTCAATTGAAATAATCACAGGAATCATAAATACACTTGTGAAAAATTAGAAATAATCTCCAACATCACTTTCTTCAAACTTTTCTCCAAATATTTGAATGATTTTATGGTATACTTTACAGTTTAAATTCACAGTTTAGCTGTAACTAACAAGGAAAGCTTCTTTTTTAAGGCAGAGAAAATTATGCATTTAGGATTATTACCTTGTCTCAAAATGACAAATTCCTATTTTTTTGTCGTTTTTTCTTTTTTATATATTTATCCCCAGAATATGCTATTTTTCTAAGTGAAATCTTTTTATAAGAAGAAACTCCAGTTAGGCATTTATTGTCATATCTGTGCAGCCCATTCCTTTCTAGCAGTGGGGTATTTACCATTAGTTAATACTAGGCAGTTGCCCAGGGCCCCAAGTTCCCCATATACCTCTGTTTACATGTATGGTTAATCCAGCTATTTCTTATTTGTGCACATTAGTTTTGTTTTTGATAAAAATCATTTTGTGAAAATGCCATCAGAAAACTTCTAATATTAAGTGTGTCTCATTCCTTTTGAGACGGCATGAAAAGTTAGCTGCATATAAAACATATAGAGAAAAACAACAAAAAAAGGGACAAGAAGAGAGGGATAAAACCTAGAACAAATAATGTATGATGTAAATAATGTATTTATTAAAGTTTCTTCTCAATTCAGAGAAGCCTGTCTTTGCCCAGGGCCCGAAATTTCCTAAATCAGCCCCTGCTTTCTATTAATTCACAAGATTATTTACTTAAGAATAAATATTTGATGCTTTTATACCTAAAAGAAAATATGTATGCAACCATAGCAGAAGTTACTGTGGATTTTTGACTGGATGCTTAAAGGTATTTATTATTCTGATCTAAATAAAAAATACAGAGTTCTAGACCTCTGTATCTCATTTACAGCTTCCCACTTTGATGTGCACAAATTTCCATTCATAATTAAAGATTCTGCTTACGTCTGCAGATCAAGACGACCTCCTGGGTAATTCGCTTGATGACCTGCTTCCGGATGAAACCAGGCCTGAACCTAAAAGCCGACAGAGTAAGCCTGATAAATCTCTGCTGCCTGCATCAGCATCTCCCACCTTCAGCAGCCAAACGGGTGAGATGAACACTAGTCAACGATTTCATTTCTCAAGATTCAAGCAAACTCTAAGTAAAATCGGATTCTTTTCTGTCTTTTCATCAGCAAAGACATCTAAAAAAGACGACAAGGATCACCTGCTTGATGCTCTCGGGTTTGAGAGACATAAAAAGGACTCCAAGAAAAAAGAGGCTCCACTTTGGTCTTCCACGGAGAAGTAACCAGCTCGTTTTCGTTTCGTCTTTCTCACTCTTTTTCTTCTTATTATTTATTGAGCTCACATATTAAATAATTACTGGGACCCTTGGGCGTTGTTGTGCAGCTCATAAATAAGAAAGTGTTTTCCCAACACATCTATTGTCTTCTCCTTTTTATTATTTGTTTATCTCCAGAAGCGATGTCCCTCAGAGACCTCGTACCAGAATCACAGATATTCTGGAGGCCTCCGACTCAGCCCGACCCCTGGACCAACCGCACACAGGCGAGGGGAAGGAGGAAAAGGTGCAGCAGGAAAAACACCCTAGTCTGAAAGGTGGGAAAACATTAGAGCTTAGTGTTGTTAGAATATCTGTCAGTAGTCACTGTTTTGAAATATTAGAGCTATAAACCTGTTATTGTTCTTCACATCCATTTGGGAAGATGACTTCACATTTGGGACCTATAAGCCAACGGAGGCATCCACAGCCGAGGGGCGCCAGTCCCGCAGACAGTCAGTCAGGTGGGTCAGGCTTTTAATGCTTTCACTCATTCAGGAGTCCAGAGCGGCATCTTCCAGGGGGAACTGGAACCTTTATACTGCAAAAGACGGAAATCTAAATAAGTCATTTTTTCTTAAGTAATTTTTTTTTTTCTGGAATTGAGGAGGCAAGTAAGAAACTTTGCCAATGGAACAAACCAATTTACTTTTAAAATAAGAAAAAAGCAAATGCATTTTCTTATTTCAAGTGCATACAATTTAATTATCTTATTTTAAAGGGCAAGGAATAATCAATGGAAATTATCTATACCTAAAACTAATACGTTTGCTGTGATTTAATACGTTTAGCAGTAATCAGTATAAAAATAATAATTTTCATTGTGATCACCAAGTCCAGGACCGACCATTTTTCCCCCAAATACAGCAACACCTCACTTTTCTTTCGACATTGACGTCACGATGTGGTGAGCCAAGCACCATTCCCTCCGCTTTACAAAATCTGCAACCAGCAACAGTTATTTAAGATTTCCAGAGGACTTCACTATTGAAATTTGCAAGAGCTATAGTTAACTGACAATGCCCATACAGATGACAGTTGGATGTTGTAATGCATCGGGTACAAATGTAAAAAAAAAAGAAAAAAAATGTGTTATTTCCCCTTTCTGATTCATTATCCACCACGGGTTCCCATTGAACTTCTGGCCAAAGAAAAAAACACGTAATATGTAGCCAACATTTGGAAGAAGAATGTTTTCATGATGACTTGGATAATCGCACACTGTGACAAACACCAGATACAGCACTGGGCTTCCTGAACAGCCGATACCACACCATGACTTCACAAACCAGTAGGTGGCAGTAGTGTACTTTGACAAACATGGATGTCTCCAGTAAAGCACGTTCAAATGAAACCACTCTTAATTAAAAACACTGGTCATTTATTGAACAGTGTGTAATAATTTCATATTTAAAATACTTTCACAGGTTTCAATTCTGAATATGACCTGACTTTTCCTTTAAGAGTAGAAAACTCATTCCATTGGCAAATTATCTTACATATTTCTAGATCGTTTTTGCAGCACTACTCCCTCTGTGCCAGATATTCTTGCATACTTTATCTTTTTTTCAGTAGAAATTCCCCAAATATTTTTTAGTTCTTTCAGAACATTAAGATAATTTCCAAATTTCAAAATCCAACATGCTCCATAAAACCACATTGATACAGAAAGAAAATTCATCAGCAGGTAAGAAATTCATGTATATGCATGTATTCTAATGACCGACTGCAAATACATGACTGGAGGATATGCAAACATAAACATTTACCATATGCAAAGCAGTAGATGCTCTTTAAAAGATTTCAAAGGACTTTTTTCGTTGGTCTTGTTTTGCTGTATATTGGGTTAAGCGGGTGTTTAGTGGAGTTAATGGAGATAAATCCAGCTGTTTAGAGCATAATCTGCTGTAATCTAACTGCGGCTCTGTCAGGAAGGGATAGGATCTTTGTAGATCACCTCCAGCCTACGTACCAACTTATTGCACAGAGATTATTGTAGGTGTAATTTAGCGTGCCTTATGCTGGATCCTTGAAGATGAGGCCTCTTGAGTCGTCCTACATCAATAGTAGCAAAATTTGAAAACTACAGGACTCTGATTAAGTGTTTTTCATTTCTGGAGAAGTTTGAAAAAAGTAAAAAAGTGTAGAGGAAAAATATTTATATTTATAGGAACTGTTCCTATAAATTGACCTGATAGAAATCTTCCACAATTTTATAATAAACTTTTGTACATATTTTGAAAAATAGGTCACATTCTCAGAATTGCTTCTTTTTGAGTTCGAAACTTTCTCAGCCTTTCCTAAATACCGGTATATGTTTTTTGTTTTGTTCTATTAGATTTTCTACAGAAGATGTCAGAGTTTCTACCCCAGAGAAGAAACCCCAACCCAGCGCTTCAACAACCAGCCGACACCGAGGCTCAGCAGAATGGCTTGGCCTCACAATAAACGACGAACCTGACTATTTCGAAGGAAGTTCCAGAGCGATGAAAAGTTCAGCATCTTCTCCAAAAGCTCCATCCTCTCCAGCACAGGAGAAAAAATCTCTATTGAATGAAGGTCATGCCACATCTGCTGCAAACGTGACGGGAGATGCTCCAAACTCTAAAACAAGCAGATCTGAGGTTTCTAAAGACATGAGGAAAGATGAGGAGAAGCAGCATGACTGGTTTGAAGAGGCACTGAGTAGGAAGAAGACTCTATCAGAGACGAAAGCTTCCAAGCAGGAGGGCTCTCGACAAACCGAGCCGGCTGTCAGGTATTGCACGCAGCAGTGAGAGTAACACCAGCGAACATGAAACATGGTGTTTCTTAAATATGACAGCTATTGTCTTTTCAGTAACGAAGACATGACGCCAACCTTCAGAGACAGAGAGGAAACATTTACATCTACCATAGATGCTGGGTATGATCTTTTGTTTTGTTGTTTTGTAACTACATCAAATAAAATCCTTGCTGAGCATTTTATGTAATAAAACTCTCCCTGTTGCAGCCCTGTGGCTCATTCCACCCCTGTTAGAGAGGAGAAGCCAAATAAAGGTATGTATCCTTTCATCCATTTTAATAAAAAGAATTAAATTCTCATCATCAGAACAAATCACCCTTGGTTCTTTTCCCCTTAAAGTCTTGCCTCCTAGACAATCATTCTCCCCCTCCTTAGCAGCCTCTCGGTTCCATCAACCACTGGTTCATACCTCCCCCGCCTCAGGTTGATAGTACATCGCTAGAAACAGTCAGCCTCAGTCGGAGTTCAGCCAATCAATGTCAAGCGAGAGATCTGAGGTTCTGAAGGAGCCTGCTTTGGTTGAAACCCTGCAAAACCATTACAATTATTTGCACATTTTGTCATTACGGCTAGTCTTCAGGAGATTTCACAGGGATTTTGTGTTATAGAACACAGAGATAATACTGAAATTCTGAAGTGGAAGGACACAGAAGTAGTATTGATATTGTTTTTAAAGGTATATTGGAGGATGTTCTTTTTCCGTGTGAATCATCTAAGTGATTTCAGGCATATATTTGTAGTGAGCTACTGTTTCAGCCAGTCATCGAAGCTCACCTTTCTCACCACGGTTCTTTGAAAATGGCCGACCGTCGTAAGAAAAAAATGTGTCTATGAAGTATATGAGAAGAAGAAAGAAAGGCCTCAGAAGAGAGAAACAAGACTAGAGCGTTTTTGGGAGATTCTTTCACATGATGGCGTTGCAAAGTTTCAACTCGACATGTACAGTTTGGCATGCCATTTGAAGAAATCCATTTCACATTTTAAATCCCAACTAGGATATAGAAAAACACGCCTGGCTTTGAACATCTTACGCCTTTCTTTCAACCCAAGATCTGGAAAGGCAAACAGCTGGAAATAATTCAGACATACTCAGCAAAATTCATAGGCCAAGCAAAGAGAACATTAATCAAGGAAGCAACAAATAAAACAATTCTTGTGACAGTGGAGGAGCTATAAAGAGCCACAGCTCAGGTGGGAGAATCTGTTGACAGGACAGCTTTTTGTTATGCACTGTTCTGGTCTTTAAGAAATAGAGGAAGAAAGAAAACAAAAAAAGTCTCTGTTTGCAGTTTGTCTCAAGTAATGATGAAAGAATGTCCTCTGGACCAGAGAGCAACTCTGAGCTTTGTGTCTTACAGTGAAATGTGGCAGAAACCTATCACTGCTCATTACCCTGAATGCACTATTCTTGTGTTAAAACACAACGTTGGCGGCATAAGCCTGCGTGGGGGTGTTTCTTAAACAGTGAAACGAATAATAGTCAAAGCTGATGGTTAGAGGTTAATGCAGGGAATTGTATGTATGTATGCATGCATGCATGCATACGGCACGGCGCGTGGCGTGGCGTTTAGGAAATTATTATTATATATACTGACAAGAGTTAGAATATATTGAACGAAAGTTGCATATTTTAAATGATGTTCTGAGAAAATTGAATGAAGCCTGAATATTTTGAATGAAAAATGAATATTTTGAATGATTTCCTGAGAATACTGAATGAAATCTTGGAATCATATACTTTTGATTATAAAATGCACAATTAAATAATTCAATGTCACTTTTAAAAAAAAAAGTCAAAAATGAAAATAATTGCTTTATGTTTGTGTCTAAATATAGAGGGAAATGCGTTTATAGGGGACCACCAGTCTTTGTCCCCTTTATTTTAGCACCACGGGTTGAAAAGTGTGGGAACTGGTGCATTAAGAGTCCTTAAAACACCTGAGACTGGGGCAGGAGCAGATCCTGCAGCAGGCCATCTGCTCTAAACTTAAAAACCCTTCTCTAAGTTTTTCCTTCCACTTCCCTTATATGTGTCACTTTGTGGTAGTAAACAACATAAGATCCCAATAAATACATGAGAATCAGATGTAATCAGACAAAAACAAAAATATTAAAGGGGACGATTACTGCTCTAAGGCATTGCTCTTATTTCGACATTTAGAGTCAATATTACTCTTGCTTGTGTTCTTTCTTGCAGATCTTCAGCAAAATCAAATAAAGGCAACATCAGCTCCCGTGCAGCAACAGGTATTATTACTGCTTTATATATAAAGCTCTTCGGATCCATTTTATTCAGATGTTGTCCTCCTGTTGAATAGGCGTCCTATACAGCCAACAATCTGCAGCAGCTGCTACTACAACAGCAGGTAAGGACATGTTTACTCTCACTTCAGGTTATTTTCCTGTATTCTTCTTGGTTTTTAGCTTTTCTTCTTTTAAAGATAATGCAGACTCAGTTGCTGGGTCTGGGGAGTCCTGATGAAGGAGCCCTGCAGAGGCTCAAAGACAAGGAGCAACAGCAGGGAGAATGCCAGGCTTTACGAGCACGCATCATCCAGTTGGAGGGAGAGGTACCTCGTAAACAAGCCTCACTTCCCCTTTGTTTTTGGGTTCTTTTCCTGTCTAAATATAAATGTGACATTCCAGGTGAAACTACTGCAGCTGGAGCGAGAGCAAAGCCAACTGGTGTTAGAGAACATCCAGCAGATGCACAAGCAGGAGATGCAGCTTCTGGAGAACTCACACAAGTAAAACAGAGCTTTACTGAAAGGACCTTCTGTAAACCTGTGCTTTGCTAATGTGTGGATATTGTTCATGTGGGTTTTAAGGACTCGTGTGAAGCTGCTGGAGGAAGCAGCAGCCCAAAGGGAGAGCCGAGCTCGACTCGAGTGCGAGGAGCTGATGGAACGCCTAGCTACCTTAACGAGGTCGGCCGAGCAGGAACGCTCAGAGCTGCAGGCTCACTACCACCGGAAGCTGGCCCAGGCCCAGCAGGACAGAGACCGTGAGGTGGAGAGGCTCCAAGACCTGCAGAGGTAAATGAATTCCAGAACACAGTTTTGTCAGTTTGATATATTTCATGGTGGTGATATTGTTGTTCTGATATCAAAATCAGATCGGAGCATCCTTAATGTATCCTGCCACACCCTGTCCTTTCTAGAAAATCTATATTGGAGATGAAAAAAGACCACGAGGATCAGCTTCAGAGACTGAAGAGACTAAAGGATGAAGAGATCGACGCTGTGACAAGTGCAACATCTCAAACCAGGTGAAACTTGGAAACCTATTACCCTCCGTTTTAAGCGGTTTCCTCACATGCTGGATTCAAAATGTGATAATTGGAGCTCCACACTCTAGTTTAATAGTGAGCACAGACATTGCAATTAACACATCACATACAGCCCAATTCATGCTGCTCTGTTCTACAGTCTGTTATTAATTAAATCAGAGAATTTCTAATCCGTTCTGCACATTTGGTACTCTGCCATTTTCAGAAACCACTCCCTTGCCACTGGAGGCCTCCGTTAAGCCAATGGCACATGACTTTGAAAAATTAAACTAGCAGTTTTAAGATCATAAGACTCTACAGTTGCTACATCCCAATTGACTTTTAAAGCCCGTCTGGGATATTAAAGGAACATAAAGGAAAAAATATCCTCAGCAGACTGCCACAGTCACCAGAAATAAGTCTGAGCTGCTGTCAACCAAATACATAACCAGTTTGTATAAAGAGAGATCTGAAGGTTCCCAAACTGCTCACCCAGCCTGATTTGGGGAAACGCCAACCCCACCTAGAGTCTTATAAGATGACTGTTCCCATCAAAGCTGAGAAGCTTTTGTTCTAAAAACAGAAAAAGGGTCTCCCTTGTGCACCTAGATGATGTCTAAAGGCGTGTAGCATCCTTTAACCCACTATAGCCGGGCTCAATCTAGTCATCTAGTCCAGCCTTCGTGCAGAGATCCTCTTGGATATCAGCGGTTAAGATAAGTGAGTGGAATCATGTTCTGTTGGTTAGATAGGTAAAACTGCTGGCTTTTCTCTTCGATTGTTTTTCCACTGAGCCATTACTGCAGACAAATCAGCAAACCATTTATCAGTCTCTCACTTATCCTACTATGACTCATGAGCAACACAGTAAGATGCTCGAGGCCGAGTCCAACCACCAACCAGGAGGGGATTAGATTTCATAGCTCTCCTGATGTTTTTTATTTTAGTAACCTTCAAGCTACTTTCAGATCATGACTCCACTGTATTTGTGCAGATCTCTGGTAGGGGTGATTGAGCAGATGGAGCACTTCTCTTCCCGCCTCGGAGAGCTCTCCTCTCAAGTGAAGAGTCAGGTACAAATGAGTCTCATTATTCTAACTTCTGAGGAAGGAGATGCAGGTTTCCATTATTATTTTCTCTTGGTTTACAGGAACAAGCTGATCTAAAGCTTCGATTGGATGAGGTAAAGCAGAAGGAGCTGGCGGTGACTCAGGAGAAAGAGACTCTGGCCAGACTAAGAGCAGAGCTGGACAGAGAGAGGGAGGTGACAAACAGCATAGCTCTAAGGCTCAAAACAAGGGCCCAAGAGGTCGAGGCCTTCAGCAAGGTGATTCCAGCACCGCTCTGACCTCTGCAGTCTGCAAGGGTTTGAAATTTAACTTAAGTGTTGTTCTCAGATTGCAGCAGAGAGGTACGAGGAGGGCGAACGAGCGTTGGAGGAAGCCAAACGCGTTGAGTCTGGGCATGAGGCCCGATTAAAAAATATTCAACTTAAAACTGAGAATCTAAGGCAGCTGGAGCAGCAGATCATGAAGGTGCACATCATGGTACTAATATTTCTTTTAAAAAAACCTCTTATTGTTGATATTAAATAGAAATCTAATGTTACAGGAAGGCATGCGACTTAATCGTCTAAAGAGAGAAGCAGAAAGGCTCCGAGAACATTCCCCCATCTTACCATCTCCTCAGATTATTCCACCTATTTTACCAGGTTTGGATGAATACATTTAATAAAGAAATACTAATCAGTTTAAAGTTAACAAACTTTCAGGAGTCATTTCTTCTGTAGACTCTGTTTCAGTACCACCTGTGCCGGAAGTGACCAACCCTTCAAGTTCTCTGGCTAGTTATCAACCCATGATGCTTGAGGCTAGTCTGGCTCTGTGGAAGTACACTGCAGCAAAGGTATTTGGTTAAAAAGCACTGACAACACTCCAAACCACTAGAGATGCATCGATCCGATACTCAGTTCAAATATTGGCTCACATACTGGTTATTTAGCAGAATATATGACTGACACCAAACCAGCATTCTGGTCCAGTTATTTTATTAATATCTTACACGATATAAAGGCAGCTGCTATATTCTATTTTAAATGTTAAAATATCTGCAGTGGATTTACATGTATTTCTTTTTGTTGGTACATTGTCTGATAGATGGTGTACCATTCTTTTATTAAATAGTACTGATCAGTACTGGGTATCAATAAATTCACTTGGCTCGAGTACTAAAGAAAACCGGATTGGGTGCATCTCTACAAACTACCGAGGCAAATTTAATTTTGTGCAAAAATGCCTGCAATTGCAGCCATTTCTAAACAAACTGAAGTGTTCAAGCTTGTAGATAACTGGATAGGAAGCTATGGCTTGAAATATTTTCCTCTGATCTTCTAGACATTGTAATATAAAAGCTTTTCTATTACACTGGTTCAATGTTAAAAGTCTAGCATAGCTGCCTACGTCAGTAACAATCAAAGCATGATTTTCCTTTATAAATTGTGGGACTCATCTAAATATTATACAAAATATATTGGGTATAATTGCATGGTTTGTGGTGAAGCAATAAATCTTGTTTTCAGTTAAACACAAACTGAATACCAAAGCACATTTATATCACGTATTTTATCCAGCAAAAATGTTTAATTCCCTAAGCTTTATCACCCTATGCAATGTAGAAAATCTTTGTCAATAGCTAAAATTAAATTCTTCTCTACATTTTAACCAGAATAAACAAACATTTAGGAAACCATTAAATTAGAATCATTACTGGTATGTTTGAAGGCTTAGAAATCTTCTTGGCGTTTGCAGAAGTTATGATTAAAGAATATACAACTCAAGTTTAGTCAATTAAAGAGGTTAAAAAATAAAAACCTAATGTTTACTTGTCTACCATAAAATTGAGTTTTCCAGTGTAGCTCCTTATAAACCTGAAGCTTCACCCTTTTGTCTTCCACAGGACGATGAATTCCTCCGTCAAGAACAGATGTTTCTAGAAAATTTACAGAGGAATCCGTACAAGTTCAACCCAGAATAACACACGTTTTGATCAAAAGCTGTTTTATTATTATATGCATTTAATAAATGTTTTACAACATTCAGCTTCATTCTTTTTTCCCCCCACTTCCTGCTTTTAGCATCACACATCCAGATTCATCCAACCTGGCCTTATTCCACCTCCAACTGCAAAGCAATAGAAAGGGAAAGAGTTATTACATCTCACACCAGTTAATAAAAATACACTGCGTGTTACTTTGTGCCAAGCCTCAGGTTACCATAACTCCACAAAGGTTTTTATTTTTCAGACAGGGATAACTTTTATCATCACTGGCTTGATTTAAATAAGCAAATATTCGTACACATACACACCTTTGAGTATTCTTAGGGCCCCTCAGTCATCTTCAAAGCACCTCCCAACCGGAACACATCCTGAAAGAAGTTACAACAGGGTGATCATTACAAGCAAAAACTTTATATCAAACCTATAGATGCTTTGATTAGTTTTCAGAAGACGGCACTTCCTATGCAGCAGTTATCACGGAATGACAAAAAAGATCTTGAGGATTGAGAAGAAACAAACCTTTCCATGGTTTCTCCTCCACGTGGACTTCATCTCATCGGCCCTGTAACAACATGTTGCATTATTGATCTTCCATCAAGTCCAGTCTTTTTAACATCACCCTGAGGCAGTTCAGATAGTATTGATTTCCACACTCTAGTTTCAGACAGGGATAACAAACTCATCACATCTACTGTAGAAAAGCATTCAAAACAAGTTCTTAAACTAAGTTTTACCTCCAGATCTCCTTTCTCTAGAACAGAGATTAGTGGTCACTGCAAAATCTCCATCTAGAAACCTGTAAATAAGCAGATTGTTTAACATACATATTTGTTTCAGTTCTCATGTGAAAATATATATTTTTTCCCACGTTATCCCGGGTTAATACAACAGAAATGAACCCAACACGTGTTGCTGGGCTAAAGGCTAGCTAGCAGCAACACATGCTTCATCAATTAGCCAACCTTTACAGTCAGAATATCAGGTCACTTATTAAACATGTACCTTATCAGGGTGGATCATCTGCAGAGGACATCATATTATCAACCTGGTTCAGTCGAATGACTAAAATTCCTGCCACCGAGTCGCTCATATTCACCAGCAGCTCTAGCTGAGCTGAAAAAAGGACCGAAGTGACTGAAATCTCGCGATGCTCCGGTATTTATCCGTCAGAAACGTCACCAAGCACGTGATTTATTACGTTTCTTTTCGAAAAGTTGCCTTTTTTTCGCTGATTAATGAACGAATACCTCAAAATAAAACATGTCAAACTTCTACTTTCTTCTAAGCTTTCTACTTACAATATTACTGTTATAATAAAGGAAGTACTCAGGTGTTACACACATAGGCGGTTCTAGACAGGGGCTAACGGGGGCCAGGGCCCCTGTAGATCACGTCCTGGCCCCTGAACAGAAGGTATAATAAGAAATTCCAATGATGATATGCGCTTTGAATCTATTTCATTTTTTTTTCTCCATTACAAATTCTATTTTTCTAATTATTTAAAAGTATTAAGGTGATAGCTTCAGTGGTATTGAGATAGGATTCCAGTTTTTATCTGCTATTTCTTTTTTTTTTTTCAAAACAAATTGCTCAAATTTGTAAAGCTGAATTAATCAGTTTTTCTTGAGTTCTAATTCAGATTTTATAGAAAACTAATTTTTACTTAAATTATGTCAAAAATATGTTAAATTCCTAAATTATGAATGTATATTGACCTAATTATAATTAAACCTAATTTAATAGAAATTTCACTTCATGCAGCTATCTTGATATATTTGAATCCCTGGCCCTGTTTTTTTATTTCTTGCTTTTCTGTGCCCCCATGAAAACATGCTGGCACCCTCCTGCCCTCCTTCATACATGAGAGAAGCTGTTCTCCTCAATTATTTGTGACAAAGGTTTTAAACTAGAAGGTAATTTGAGTAATCAGATTAAATGTATTCATGCATGATGTGGAATGATTTATATATATATATATATATATATATATATATATATATATATATATATATATATATATATATATAACATTTGTTTCCCAACAGTTAGACACTACAGGAATTCTTGCCCTTAACAGGGGCGGAGTTGGATGGGGGACAGGGGGGGCCATGGCCACCCTTAGCCAATCATACCCGTACCATTTATTTCACTCAAATACAGATGGTGGCAACAGTAATACTCTCAAGTAAAATATTAAAAAAAAAATACATTTTTCTTATATCAACAATTACTTGACAACAAAATCACTGTGGTTAATTATGCACATCAATATACTAACATTAAAGATGATAAGTACAGAATTCAAGCAAAAATAGATTTAGTGTTTTATGGGATAAAGAGAAAATGTGTCTCTGTAAGTCATCTAGGAGTCTTCGGTGAAATCATAGATAAATAACTATTTTAAGAAAAACTTATTAAATAATCAACTTATGTAAAAATAAAAAAAAATTTTATGCAGAATGATTACTGATAAAAGTAGGTAAGTAATTATGATGGAAAAGATGTTCGCCCTAGAGCTCAAACCTGAAAGAATTCTACCCACTATACCTTTTATCTACAAAGCACAGATGTTTGAAAATATTCGTCTTGTAGTAAGCAAAGGCTGTGAGAAAGTATAGTTTGTCTTTATTTAGAAAATATGGATGTTTTGCTAATTATTTTTCCTGTTGGAACAGTGTAGATTGACCGTGCGGTTTTGGTGCCTATCTACTTTCGGCCACCCCTCAGTGTACATTGGTTATTGCCTGGCCACCCTTATAAACATTTTCTGCCTACGCCTATGGACCTGAAACCATAAACCTTCAGATTTTACATATGGAGGACAGGGCTGCCAACTTTTCACCAAACCTTGGGATGAGATTTTGAAATAGTTTGGACAGGAAACTCTGTCAGGGTGAGATGAGGATAGATGCAGCTAAAGGTTGGAGGTTTTCAGAGGATTTAACTGAAACAAAGTCGCAAAATGTGGATTTTTTTATGAAACAGTAAATGTTATTGAGTAACAATATACATTTATTTTCTACATTCTGGTGATTTTTAGAGAATTGAATGGGCCCTACTAAAATACTTGTATCTTAAATATACTTTAAACTTAGAATTTCCCAACTTTGCTCATTAATTATGCTCTGCAGTTTAAGTAAATTAAACAATGGGGAACTAATAAGCTATTAATGGATTACTGGCACTGATACAGGAGCCAGTGCAATCAAAACCTATGGAAACCACACTGTGTATGAATATTTGGTAATAGGCTAAGGATTAAAAAGCTTCATTCATTATGTTATTAGTTTTTCTTACAATTGACAAAACGGCTAAACAATTCAGACCTTCTAGGAGGCTGTAGATTTTATAAAAACTCACCATGACAGAAGACAGCACTTCTCTGGACGTTTCAGTTTGGAAGGTGTGATGGAAATTAAGTTTTTAAACATATTAAATGGACCAAAATAAAGATAAATGAATAAGGTAAGTAATAATAAAAGAAGAACATCCCGGTGGTTTCTTCTCTATGAATCTTGGATAAATGAGTTGTTCTGCACATCCTCTCTGGATGCGATTGGTCTTTTCTTTGGTGGCTGATCTTTTAAAAAGTAAAATGCAATGGTTCTTTTTCTTTTTGTGGAGCTCCTAAGAAGCAAACCTGATAGCTTTAAGAATTACAATATTTGTGTTGGTTTAATTACTCCTAAATGCCAACGGGAGATTATCAAACTAGACTGAGTTGAGTTTTAATGTCTGTCTTTTTTTTTTGTGAGAAATGGGGAATATGGAGTGAGAGTGTGTGAAGACACTGAGATGGGTGAGTCTCACTCCCAATGGGTGAGAGTTGACAGCCCTGTGAGGAGACTGATGAGGGATGTTTCTGAAGACCTTTAGCAGTTCAACTCTATTGACATCAACCTTTGTCTGATGTAAATTGTTAATGCCAATCTACAGCTGATGAGCTCATTAGGAAGTTCACTGGTCTTACAGGATGGCCCCTTGATCAGATAGTGGGAGACAGCAGGACTGTTACAAAGGGAACAACTGTTGACAGTGTTTCCTACTCCGAGCATGAAGCTGTTGCAGGAAAACTACTTGAGTGACAGACTGTTACATCCTACTGTAGGTGCACTAAAAGCTTGGCATAAGCGGTATTATTGCAGGCCCTGCCCTCCCTGCAGCTTTTAGACTTTAGAACCATCATCGCTTTCAACAAGCTCTGCATGTGTTTACATTCTTGATATTATGTGAGCAGTTTTCCCATATTCTTGAAAATAACCTGGTGTTTTGGTCTTTTATGGTTTAAAATCACAGATTTTATTTATGTATTTTTTGTGTGCCATATATTGAATTTATGTGAATCTGCATGCTTTTATTCGTACCTCTGCCGGTAGACTTGAAATTCTTTATTAAGAAAAAATAACAGGTATTTTCTATTCTGTTCCTCTTTGCCAATCTTGATGTTTCCTCAGCTACAGTTGGGGAGTGTTGGCCTAGTGGTTAGAGCAGTATGCTTGTGCTCTGAGAAGGTTGAAAGTACCTGGTCCAATCCATACAGCCTGCACTCTGGGTCTCTGAGCAAGACCCTTAATCCCACACTGCTCCCTGCGCGCCACACAATGGCAGGCCACTGCTCCCCAAGGGGATGGGTTAATTTCAGAGATAAATTTCTCCAGTGTGATCAATAAAGTTCAGTTTTTATTTTTTGATACCTAAGCTTTTTATTTGCATCCATTAATTTTTCATGAAAAAAGCTGTGAAAATCTGTGATTTCACTGACATTTATGAAGTGTTTTATTCATAAACATCTATGTTACGAATTATGTTACCGTTTAATCTTAATAAAAAAAAAAACATTTAAAAGTTTCTGTTTTTTTGTTGTTTAACAGACTTTTAAGCATCTACAGCTAAATTCAATTAATTTGAATATGGGTTCCAATGAGGCTCGCCTGTTAGATAAAAATATTGGAACTAATCTTTTAAGCAGATATTAAACATTTATCACTGAGTTCGCATTTCTGCAGGGATTTATTTTCTTTTTTAGATGCAGCATTCTATAGATTTAGGTTTTTCATAGCCTTTACCAGAACATCTTCATAAAAACAGAAACAAGTTAAAAAGAATCTTTCTGTGTGTAAATCATGTATATCATGTGTTTCATCCGCTCGCTCACTTACTTTAAATTCACTTTTACATAAAGCTTTTACCATATAATAACCAACCTTTTAAATATATTTGAAAAAAGAATGGATTTTCTCTTTTTTTTCTCAGTTGATACATTCTGTGTGATCTTAATCTTACTTAAGCTTTACTTAAATGATTTAAGCTCATTCGATTTATTTAGACTTCCTACAAAGTATCCTTGGTTGGGGTGCCACATGATTTATTAGTGACCCAAAGGATTCTCTTTGTGGTCTAATGAGTTTGGTGGCCAATCGAGCAAATATCTCTCATCAGATATTGGTTCTTTTAGTGACGTGGGGACATGTACCAAGTCCTGCACAAAATGAAGATCAACATCAAAATAAATGTGTGCTGGAAGCCGGAAATTCCTTTGCTTACTGTGCTGACTTTAATCTTGAGAAAGCATGTAAGACCAACACCAGAAAATGTCAACATTTTACATGCTATAAACCATAATCTTAAATATATAAATAAAAGGCATACTTGAAACATCAGTTTGTGAAATAGCTACAGTTTTTTTATTTAAATGATAAAAATAACAATTTTATTAACAAGACTGTTAAAAAGCATTAAGCACATTAAAACAACATTAATTTACATAACAACCAGACATAATATTGGATAAGAACTTCTTAGTGAGTTGAAATCCCACTAAAACTTTTTGCCATTGATCATACAAATGGCTTAAAGATGACATGCTATGATTTCAAATTCAAATATTTCATTAGTGGGTTTCATTTGAATAAATCTGAATACATTTTCTTAAATAAATCAATGGATAGGTTTAGCTTTGTTATTTACGTTCTCCATAAACTCTCATTATTCCCTTGCTCTGTTGATTTGCAGTGGAATGAAGCTTTATACCAACATGCAGGGATGCTTTTCTTTGCTACCAATATAAGGACTCCTAGCAAATACTTCTTTCTATACTTATCAAGTTCTCTTGGGAGTATTCCCAGAACAAAGACAGGGGAATCCATTCAACATAAATGTATAGGATATATAACATTTTCTCTTTAATTCCTTCCCAGAGATGTTTAATCTCTGGGAAGACGTGTGTGTGATCTATAAACTAGTCCTCATTGTCTGCAGCACAGATTGTTTTAACGTCGTCAAAGTCTGAGGTGATAAATGGTGTTAATTACTTTCCATTAAAGTTCTTTCCACATCGGGCTGTTGATCAATTCATGTCCATTTTCACACATTAGCTCCCATTCTTAACCATCAATCACCACATTCCTTTAATGTTCCCATCTATCCTTTATCCCAGAAGCCTTCCCTTCCACCCCCACAACAGATAAAAAGTGTTTTATCCCATTTTCTCTGTTAATGACTTTTTTATTGAGGGCATTTCTAAGTCTCTATGTCATGATTTAAAAGGAGACCAAAGGTCACTGGTTAACTTCTAAGCTACAAAAGGAAATAAATACACTTTTAAATAATGATTTAAAGTATTTTATATTGCTGTAAAGTGAAAATGTGAATTCTAGTTACCCTGAATAAAAGGTAATTATCAGTTCAAAGGTTAGAAAATCTAAACCTGAAGCCAAGAGTTCAAAAAGCAAAAGGAATGACACATTTTAACCCCATACTGGCCTACATTACCTGCCTTAATAAAGACAATTCCAGAATTATAGTCAAAAGTACACAAGAATACAATAAAAAGAAATAATATAAAAAAAAATAAAAATACCCAAGAAATTATAGAAAGTGAATAACAAAAAAAAAGTTTACTGTTCAAACACCGTTGATTCAAAAAGTTTTGATAATCTAAAAACAGATTATTAAAGTATACCAATGAACAAATGATAAAAGCTTTTTTCCTTCATCAAATAAGGAGCTGCAGGTAGTGAAGAGAAATAGTTCCCCTCACAGACACCAGGGGGAGCCCGTGAGCCAGGCAGGCTGTTCGAAGGGTCCCACAGCAGCAGCAGGTCCTCAGTCTGCTCCGCACCGGCCTCCGGAACGCGTCTCTCTCTCCGTCCGGGATGGAGAAAGACGCCTCACCGCCGGACCCATCCCGGCAGAGGAACGGCTTCTCCGGCGTGTTGTACGGAGAGTTCAGCGACACCCTGAATTACGGGGTCCGCTACTCGGTGAGCCTGACGGAGAGCGCCCTGACCATCCAGAGGATCTCCTCCTCGCCCGACCGGACCAAGGTGGTGTTCAACTTGAGCGACTGCATCGGCTGCCGGGCATACAGAGGGCCGGACAGCGCGGACATCGGCGCCTACTTCACGGCTTATTTCTACCCATTCAAGAGGCGCTGGATGAGCGCCGGGGTGGCCCGCCAGAGAGTGGAGCAGTGCTTTCGGGTTGCGCTGGTCCAGGAGCCGCTGGTCAACCTGCAGGAGGCTGAGAGGTGGGCTCATGCCATCAGGGACGCCTCTCTGATGCAGGCGCCTCGGAGAGAAGGTGAGGAAACATCTCCCCTTTAGATCACACCATCAATACCAGGAAAACTAAGTTTAAAGTTGTTTTCTAACTAAAGGTTGTGCCACTTAAATTTAAACATGTTCCTCTCTGTGGGATGTATTTATTATTAGAGTTATTTTATTTATTTTTGGAATATGATTGGATAGATCAACAACTTATTTTTTCATCAACAATTCAATTCAGTTTATTTATTTAGCGCCAATTCACAAGACATGTCATCTCAAGGCACTTTACAGTTAAGCAGATCATACAGTCAAATTGATTCAGTTTTCTAAGGAAAACCAGTTTATGGCATCGACTCATTGACTCAAATGCAATCCCTCACACTAAGCATGCTTGTAGCGACAGTGGAGAGGAAAAACTCCCTTTTAACAGGAAGGCACCTTTAGCAGAACCAGGCTCAGGGGTTCAAGGAGGCAGAAGCAGAGATACTAAAAGCAGCTGTAACAAGCGGCCTCATCCAGGAAACAGACAAGCTCTGAGCCAGCTCCCATGTCAGAGGATGAAGAGGGCACATCCAGCCAGTCACAGTCAGAGAAACAGGACTACACTTGAAAAACAGGCAGATCTCCAAGATCTATAAACAAAGGTGTTGATGGCAGCAGCACAGTTGATATTTCTCTCCAGGATGGAGTCACAGCCAAACAGAAACAGACCAGATAAGGCTACTATGAGAAAAAGCAGAGAGCATAACGTTAGAGATTGAACTAACAGATTCTGCAGAGTGATTACATAGAGATAGAAAGAAGCAGAATGAATGAATGAAATGGGGTTCCCTATGTCCTTCAGCAGTCTAAGCCTATAGCAGCATAACTATAGAGATAGCTCAGTATAACCTGAGCCTTTCTAACTATAAGCTTTATCAAAAAGGAAAGTTTAAAGCCTTCCCTTAGAAGTAGACAGGGTATCTGCCTCACGGATCTGTTGATTTCAATGCAGCACCCCTAATCAATGCTTCATGGAGCCCTCCTCTTTTGTGTTGAGTTGCTTCCAGCTTTGCACTTCTGCTGACTTCTTTGCTAATATTTCTCACCTATATTGCTCAAACTCTGTCAATTTGGAAGGAAACTTTGACATAAGTCCAGCTGGCATTGATCTATATTAGGGCTGTAAGAATGAATCGGATTAATCGACTATTGAAATAACCGTCAACTAATATAGTAATTGATTAACATCCCTTTAGCTGACAGAGCAAACCACTTAGAGCAGGAGCTATACCAAATTTGTAAAGTAAATATATAGAAATTCTTTGCAATTAATATAAAAAATCATTTTAATCTGTCAATATGCTCTATCCAGAAATCCACAAGTGGAAAAGTTTTAGTTTCACCTGGTTTATTTCTTTAAAAAAATCTTCCTTCAGGAACCTTTTGCTATCCGATTATTAATCAAGAAAATAAGAAACAGATTAATCTATTAGCAAATCAATCCTTAGTGGCAGCCCTAATCTAAACCCTTCTCTGATGTACGGTAAAGGTCATTCTTCAGCTGGAAGGTGAACCTATGCTCTGTTTTCTGAAGGCACCTTCCTGGTTTGGCTCCTATTTAGCTTGATCCACATTTCCACCAACTCTGATCAAAAGCATCTTAGCAGTATTAATCCGCATAAAATCCAGTATTAGTTTCTAACTAGATTTTTTTGTTTGTTTGTTTTATCATAATCCCTTCTTATAAATTGAAACAGCTGCATCTCATATGGACAGCACTCCCTCAGCATGATGCTGCCGCCACCAAATGGGGATAAAAAAATAAATACACAGCCCCCCCCCCCCCCCCCCCCCCATTTATTTATTTGTTTTCACAATTATACACTGTTTTATGTTTTTTTTTTTCTCTTTCATTGACATTCCCCAATAAAGACATTACATGTGTGGCTACTGCAAGGAACTTTCTAATCTAATCGCTTAAAACCGGCTTGGTAAAAGAGACAAAGAGACGCATTCCTTCTGCTCTCTAACCTGTTTTACCTGCCTGGGGTGGTGAGAGGTTAGCTCAGCCAATAAGCGGCCGTTATCTAAACATCTCCTGCCGCTGCACACAGAGAGGGGCTGAAACTGAATCTAGATCTGGATCTGGATCACTTTAAGCAGTTAGATCTACAGCTACATCTGCTGTCAGCGGCTGAGCGGTAACTAGCTTCATTATTTCAGCTAAGCACATTCCCAGTGAGACTTTACTCAGGTTGAGTAGGGGTAAAAAAGTGACATCACAAAAGAAGCCTTTTGTCGTTTGGCTCAGCAGCAGCTTCTTCTAATTGGGCATCATCCTGTCTTGTTCTGTACTGTCTTCTTTTAACTGGTGAACACCAGCGACAGATTAATTAACATTAATGGAAAATAAGAGGCAACTATGCAGAATATTTCCCGTATTGTCACACTACTATAAAAAAAAAAAAAAAAAAAAAAAACTCAGGATATTTTGAAGGGACGTTAATAGACAGATTAAAAAAAAAAAAAGCATATTTAAAAGAACGTTTTTTTTGAAAATTCTTAAAAACATTTGAAAAGTATGACATGCATTTGTATGCAGCCACTCTTTTTAGAGTAAATCCACTTGTTTTGCAAGTGGACAAAGGAAGACCAAACCACAAGGTGGACAGGATAGAGAGAAAGTTGTAAAGAAGCTTCACAGCGCATTGTTTAATTGCAAAAGTTTGGTCTATTGCAGAGGAAGACCGTGGTTCTGAGAACGCTGTTGGAGTTCAACTTGTAGTTCTCGTTAGGGACAACGGCTGAAACTATGAATCTGATTAATTGTGATTAACCGATTATCAAAATAATCGTCAACTCATTTAGTAATCGATTAATCCTTAGCTGGGGTATAGAGACTCTAAAGTGCCTTTAGCTGATAGATTAACCCACTTAGATCGATGATTATACCAAAATTGTAAAAAAAAAAAAAAGAATATATATAAATTTGCATTTAAAAAAAAACTTTTTCATCTGTCAATATGCTCTATCCAGAACTTTTCAAGTGAAAAAGTTTTGCTTTTATCTGTTTTAAAACTGTAAAAAAAATCTTCTTTAAGCAACCCTTTGCTTTCCCATTATTAATTAATTAATTAATTAAAAACAATTATCGTCAGATTAATTGATTAGTTGCAGACCTATTAGTGACTTAGCAAACATGTAGAACAAGATGACNATATATATATATATATATATATATATATTAGGGTTGTCACGATACTAAACTTTTCAACTCGATACCGATATTAAGTAAAACATTCGATACTCAATACCCTTTTCGATACCACAAGAATAAAAACAAAGACTCTTAAATTCAACAGAAATATTTTCATTACTAAAAAAATACAAGAAATAAATTTAAAAAACAATAAGAATAATATTTTGAGGTTGTATGCTGTACATAATATTAAGCAAGCTTGATAAAAAAAACTTACAAAATTAAAATTAAATGTTCCTTCCTTGGCTATGTTTTGCAGACATAAAAATGACACTGGCCAAACCAATTAAACAAAAATAATTCTCAGCAGCTGCACAAAAAAAGTCTGAAACTGAAAAAAAGCACAGAATTATTCAATCACACAGTGTTCAGAAAGTGCATTTTCCACTATTCTGCACTTTAGATGGCTGTATCGATACTTTTGAAAATGAGTATTGTATCCGGATACAGCGTTTCAGTATCGATACTTTTTAAAGTATCGATACTTTTGACAACCCTAATATATATATATATATAAATTTGCATTTAAAAAAAACCTTTTTCATCTGTCAATATGCTCTATCCAGAACTTTTCAAGTGAAAAAGTTTTGCTTTTATCTGTTTTAAAACTGTAAAAAAAAAATCTTCTTTAAGCAACCCTTTGCTTTCTCCTTATTAATTAATTAATTAATTAATTAATTAAAAACAATTATCGTCAGATTAATTGATTAGTTGCAGACCTATTAGTGACTTAGCAAACATGTAGAACAAGATGACCAGAGCTGTTTAGTCTACATGCAAAACACTGCTGAAGACTCATTAGGGGCATCAGGACCCCCAACATGAAGGTGATTCCTTCTCTTCAGATCCCGAAGCAGATGAAGCATTCAGTCTTTCTTTACGATGTTTTATTTACAGTTTTTATTTTACTTTACATTTGGGCCGAACGATTTTGGAAAATAATCTAACTGAGATTTTTTAAGCTAAATATTGTGATTACATGCAATTTTTTTTCCAGTTTAATTTCTCATGCCTTTTTAAACATATACAAACAAATCTGTTTTTATAATAATCAGATTTATTTAAAGCACAGATTACAACAATAAAGGAAACAAATCTCTGGCTTTACCTTAGTAGCATCTTTTCATGTTTCATGAAACGATGTTGGTGTAACGACGCAACAATAGGCCCGCTAGCAACATTATCTGGGTGGGCCCCATATTAAGTACAAGAGACGTCCTAGTCCATAATTGCGTAGGGGGCTTACCAAATGTCAGTGACGAGGCCCCTAAGAAGTCGGGGGGCCCTAAGCAACTGCATACTCTGCTTACTGATAGTTACGCCATTGCATGATACATAAACATATGGACTCCACTCCTTAAACACTGCCAGATTTTAACAGGACAGTCTATAAACAAATGGAATAAAATCGCATTATATTCATAAGGAGTTGGTGATCCCTGTCAGCTAGTACTTTTCTTACTTGACATTGAGGTGCTGGTAGGTTGCATTCCAGACATGCAACTATCATACATGGCGTTGTGGTGTTTTTTTTAAGTATGGATAAAGGTTTGTTGTGTTACCTCATGAGGTAGCAACAATAGCAAGGCATGTCCTGCACAACACCTGACATTTGTACATCGTCTTCTTTTTTAAACCCAAAATAATTCCACACAAGTGACGTACTTCTCTTCTTTGGTACCAGACCTTCAGTTGTGACGGTTTTTGTCGAGGCCATTGTTCAGCAGGTTAGTCGCTGAACAATGGTTACTCGCAGATGAGTATTGACCCTTTTTCCACTTGGATCCCCCGCT